CCATGACTTGTCTTCCAATCGCGGCTTTCCTTCGGTCCTTCTTTGTAGCGCGAGCCTTCTCTCGTTTGTCCTTCTTATACGCTGCTTTCTTCTCGGCTTCACTCATCTTCTTCCATGCTTCCGGAGTATATGAGTGAATGGGACGCCGTGAATGGGAATGAGTCTTCCGGATGGACCGACTTCGTCATGCGAGCGTCGATCGCCCCCGGATCCAATGGGTCCAATGGCAAGTGGCTCAGCGATACCTGACGCCTCCCTTTCGACTCGTGCACGTATTTCGTCACCATCCATTGCTTCATGTTCCATTGATTTGACATCTTCACCGCGAGGTTCTTCTTCCACATCAGACGGATCAATGTCAGCCAAGTCAGGATCTTCTCCAGGATCAGGTGGAGGAAGTAGATCGCCAGGATCATCGCCTCCACCGTTGCCACCACCAGGTCCGCCGGGAGGACCGTCATCCCCGTTATCAATGTCATTGATCTCCTTGCCTCCGAGATCCACGTTGTCCTTCAGTCCCTCACGTGTCTCGTTCATTCTTTCATATTCCGCTTTCAATGGAAACGTGATCTCATCTGGGAAGTAGATGACCTCTGTCTCATACGGGCATGTCAACCTTCTGGGCACGGCTGCATCCATGGACAAGTTCACGTGTGCAAACTCCTTCTCATGTCCCAGACGCGGTATTTCCGTGACCAACCTTGGCCAACTGTGATGACGTATCCGGCAAATATGCCAGGTATTCCCATTGGATCGAATTTGTTGCCATAGGTCTTCTCCCTTGTATCCGTGGGCTTGAAGTACACCTTGGCGGGACTCCTCGATGTTGAGATTATGAGTCACGCAATTCAATGCGCACACCCAATATTGTGACGGCAAAACGGCACGCAACATGGATGCAGCGACCGTGTTGATGACTTCCTGATTCGTCCTTTCCGCGAGAGAACTGTTGTTGGGTTTTCCCGGTAACGAATGATCCAATGGTATCCTCAAATCCGCCATTGCTGCATTGAACTCTGGCGCATCATCGCTATAAGCCATCTTGATTTTCCGTCTTCCCATCATTCGTTTGATAGCGATGACCACCTCATCAGTGTGCCTGGATTCGGTCGGGATGTCTGCGATCATTCTCGTAGCGATGTCCCTGATGACCAGAACTTCTCTTGCTCCGTCGTCGTCCCCGATTCCTGCATCTGCAGCTTTGCGCATATCAAGGAAGTCGAACGTTATCAAGCCCCCCTAGGCTTTGATCTCTCTTTGGAATGCTCCGCGTTGAGTACGGAAGCGCTTCATCGTTGCTGAATGCAAGATTCACAATAGGGATTGCGATAACGATGAGTGCACAAGTGCTCAAGCTTCTTGGCTTCGGCTTTCAGGGTGCCAACTTTTGCTTTGCGGCTTGGTGCCCCGTCGCCTCAGTAACTTTCTCATCGTCTTCATCAAGATGAACTTCTCCGATTCCTCCTGGATCCTTGTTCGGAGATCTCCCTGCTTCGGCCTCGGGTACTTTTCTCCAGGGACTTCATGAGGTTCCATATCAGGTGGGCGACCGTGCGCAACACCTTCTTCTTCATCATCCATGTCACTCGGCGCTGCTTCTGCAACTGCAGCCACATCAGCCTGCACTTTGTTCAAGGACATCATTTTCATGAAGATCTCGGAGACGGCCGCAGCTTCTGCGTCGTCGTGAACAAGTGATTTGTTACTCCCAGCCCGTAGGTATGGGATACCACCGTACACGAAGAGAGAAATCCTCTTCCCTTCAGGGTTGATCATAAAAGGTTGCCTTCCAGGTGGCCATACAAACCCGTACCTGTGGTTCATACAACGCTTTCCGATGGAAAGCACCAATGGCGTGTCATTCCAACACATAGGCATTGATTGGTTCCTCAAACGACTTTGAAGTTCGACACGAGTTCGGTATCAGTTACACCGTTCGCCGTCTGGAAGGAAATGGGTTCTGGCGTAACGAGAGTTTCGAGCTCATGCTTCTCAATCTTCTTTTGTGCAATGAGACCATGACCACAACCTGTATCCATCAGAAACTTGATCTTCTTGCGTAGATGAACAGGTTGGACCATGCGCTTGAATGTTCCTTGATCGATGACTCTCTTGCTATGTGCGGCACTCAGTTCACGCTCAACAATGGTATCCTCGCCATCGTAGAAAGCGACTTCTTCCACCCGAGACGTGCCGGGTATCCGCACAAAAGAAATCCGATCACCCTCACGATCATCATCTGTCATGTCCCGCATGATTTGGGCCCTCAGCCTTGCTTCGTGCTTGGCGAACTCCAAGTCCACGGAACGACTTTCCCGTTGCTTGAGTGATTCCACATTCACGATGATCACCTCCTGCCTCTTCTCTTTGTATGATCTTCTCGGTCTTGATGACAGGAATTTCACATCTTCTGCAAATGAAACTCTGCATTTCTTGGGTGACCTGGTCGGCAAAACCGTATCAGGTACCTTTGAACAGTCTGAGTCAGCGTCACTGTCAGCGGAAGAACACTCGGATTTATCATGATCATCATCATCATCATCAGAGCGTGAAGACCTCTTCCAAATGGCAGGAGCAGACGGATTCCACCTTCGACACAATCTGATGGCTGGCGCAGCCGGCGCAGCCTTGGCTTTCGGACTCTTCTTGGCCGCTGCAGCCTCTGCTTTGGCCTTCGGTTCCGCTTTTGCCTTAGCTTTGGCTTTCGGTTCTGTCGATGGCGTTGCTGCGGCTTCATGCGTGAAAGGACAACCCTCTCTAGAACATGATCCTGTGTTCTTGAATGAAAAGCATATCCGATTGGAAGTTCCACCAGATGGACTTGGAGTCCTCGATCTCGGAGTGAAAGGTCGTTCCGGAGTCTTCTTTGAGTGACTGAAGGGACATTTGTCACCGTTCCGACACTTGCCTAAACGTGTGAATCTTGTTGTCACCTTGGTTCTGCAGCTTGATGAGGTAATCCAACGACACGGTCATGTCCAATCTGTCACGAGTTCTGAAGCTTTCGTACATCACCGCAATGCTTTGCCGTCCTTTGATAATCTTTCCGGCAACTGAACGGATGTATTCATTTGCATTTCGGTTCACCTCCAAGTAAAGATCAGCGGCTTTGTCACCTCCAGCACGAAGCATGGAAGTCATTGCGCCGCCTAGCTTGACATCAATGCTTTTGAACTTCTTGTGGCCTGAGTCGTTCAATGCTTCGATATCGGGACCTGGGTTGAAAGCATGACTTAACCATATCATCCAATCCTCATGGTTCGGGTCCGCGGATGCGCTGAGGACATTAGGGGTACACAATGATCGCCAATGGTCCCCGTCTTCGGGATCACCATTCTCTCCATGGTTGCCATCATCTCCTTCTGCCTCTTGCAACGTTTCAGCCATAAGCTTCCATTCGTCACGATCGGCTCGTAAACGTTGCTCGGCCTTTTGATTTTTGACGAGAACTTCCTCGCGTAGGTGAGCGATCTTTTCCTCGTATTCCATCTCAAGTTGCCTCTTATGTGCCTCCTAGATTGAATCACTAAAGGTTGCGGGTGCTTGTTGTGGCACATGCATTCGACGGCTTCGGGACTGCAATAGCACTTTGGTGAATTGCTTTATCAATGGCAGTTGTGGAGGATTGACCTTTGTCATCCTCAGTGGAGCTGTCAACGGACTGCACCACCGTGTCGTCAGCGGTCGAATCTCCAACAGCTGGCGTTGCCACTTCGGCACTGAAAGTCCATGCCGAATCTTGACTCGACCCAGAGTTCGAGTGGGCTTAGTAAATCAAGTACTCTCTGCTGTTTGTAGGCAGAGCCTACGGCTGATAACCTGCGTGGGGATTTGATCTTGATGTTGCCCTGGTTCGCTCACCCCACCGAGCTAATGAATAAGTGGTTGCCCTCAACAGACTTGACAAGCTCTCACCACGCTTCCACGCTTCAGACCCTAATCCCTGGCAGGCAGACTCGGTGCTCGCTGGTTTTCTCGTTCGAGAGGAGCGACGAGTCGTCTATGCACGGGATGGCTCCGTTCCTCTTGAGGTCACAGAAGGCTACAAGCTATGATTAGCTTGTGGCATCAGTTTCTTGAGCCAAAGTTGCGTTGGCGGAATGTAAGATACAGTACTGCTCCATGGTTCGGCAAGCGATCCCAGGGGCATTCACTTAGAGTCAAGGTACGCAAGCTTATAGCGACACCGTAGAATCGGACTAGGTATCGAGGTCCGTTCGCACAACGTGTAGTAACTAACACCCGAATATGTGGGGCCGCTTTAGCAAGGCCACTTTGGTCTTGCACGATCTGGGCTGATGCTTCGGCGGCACCTGGGAAGGTTTAAAAATTGTGTCTTCAAATTATATAATATTGTTTTTGCATTCATGGAATGATATAATAATGATGACAATGTCAATGAATCAACCCATCGTTGTTGCGGCCGCGGACAGCATCTTCAGGTTCAGCGGCGTTGGCTGCGGAGCGGGGCCAAAGTAGGGAGTCCAAGAACCCACGGCCACGCTTTTATGAATGCCCCCGAGGCACTCATCCTAAACCAGCTCGCCAAACTTCGGCAGAGGTTGTTGAGGCTCGTAATGAAGATGATAAAAAAACTAGCATCGTCATCACCAGGACCATCCTGGCCCTGAGCCTGACGGGCCGTGCAGCATGAGACAATTAATTGAAAGTTTAAGGACATGACGGTGATCAATGAATTGAATGCAAATCCTGCGTCATGCACCTTTCCAGCCTCAGGGACGATTGCGGGCTTTTTTTTTTGGTCATGCCTGGAGGACACAGTATGTTGTTCTTAGATACGGTGTCTGAACGGAAGACAAGCGCCAGCCAGCCTCTTCAGATCCAGTGACGGCGACGCTGCTGCAGCGGAACTGGGCGGCATCAGGATAATAATCGTGACAGTCCGACGAAACGCATGCAGCACTGGGGCACACCACATTTTCTGGACCATGAACGATGACTCTGAGTCTGATGCTACGGCTACGGATCTGATCTACGATCTACTTGGACTTTACCGACCGCCCAGCCAACCATGCCGCTGCAGCCTCCTTTGCCACCGACTTCGCCGACCGCCGAGCCAACCAAGCCGCTGCAGCCTCCTTTGCCGCTGAAATGTCCGCCGCTGAGGGAGTGTCCTTCTTCATGACGGCCTTCTTCTGGTTGTCTTTGTTCTTCGTGCCACTGTGCTTCTTCTTGTCATAGTAGTTCTTACTCCTGTGATCGCTGCTCCTCGTCTCCTCGTGGTCCGGATGCAGCAATGGCTGCATGGCCAACCAGGTCCGCCATGGATCTACACTCATACTTACAGATAAGAGAGACTACGGTGTTAGCTACTATTTGACTGATCACTGATTATGGCACAGGAAGCGACGTCACTGACAGACTGCAACGGGCATTGAAATTGGCACGTGATTGGTTGTGACTTAAACCGTTCTGCCAAAGTAAGACGCAACTGAACTCATCCTCGCTTTTTCGCAAGCCAGGATAAACCTATCTCAGATCCCGATCGCTGTCGGATTATGTGGCATCCCCTCAAGGATTCCCAATGTTCTCGTCTATCGGGTCGTTGATCTCCTCGCCAGTTTCAAGGACGACTGTCTCTGCATCGTCCATAGGGTGGTCATGGAGCGCAGGCTCAAAGTTCACGCGGTCCAAGATACGCCTCGCCACCTCATCTGCCAGGGACAGGATTCGGAGCAAGACACGCGGCAAGTCCTCCATCACATCCCGGGTTTCAGGTGCATCTCCTTTTCGTCGTTTCGTCACAGGTTCTGCTGGACTTTGTGCATCGAAACGTCTTTTCTTTGGTAGCGGCGTGCTCTCCATGTCTTTGACCTACTGAAGTTTGGGCCGAGATCTGTGGCGAGACAAGAGCGAGGCTCCGATCCTCTCAGCCTACTCTCCATAACTCTGGCTCAGATCAGCAGAAATTCTTGGATTTGGGCCGAGACAAGAGCGAGGCTCTGATCCTCTTCGGCCTACTTTCCAGAAATCTGGCTTTCACTCGCTGCTAGCAGCCCTTTCGAGGTCTTTTTGAAGTCTGACGTATTTTAGAAGTTATTGCACACCTCGTCCCCTTACAAGGCATGGCAGCCAACAAGAAACAGGAACGGCCTGGTAACCCCTAGCACTGACCAGCAGCGATCAGTCGTTCTGTACAGTGAAACAAAGCCTCAATCCGCAGCTCGCTTTCCAAAGGTCCGCCGGTCTGGTGTCTGTGGCACGTAGGACTCCACCTGCGGCAGCCTCTGCTGCTAGGCCTTTACTTTAGACTGAGAGGCCCGGAGGTCCTCACGAACGGCCTTGAGTGTGTTGACAGCAAAGTTGCTGGCCATCGTCATCGCCCAGAGCTTGTCCTCGAGCAATACCATTACGGCCTCAACCGTGAAATAGACCCCTGGCCCCAACCCGAATGAATGCCGGTCCTGGTCCTGTAAGACCGCCTCGGACTGTGTAACGAACTCTCCGCACCCTGGCCAAGTGCGGGGCATACAAGCATGACAAGTCGGAGCAAACGACGTCCGGTTTTGCTTAGGCTTCAGTTGCAAACATCACGGCTACTTGGCCTGCAGACGCGCAATACAAGAATAATGGCAAGGGCATGAAGTTTTCGTGTGTTGCGCACTTCAAACTGAAGTTCGAATCAGAATCTGTCGTCAGTCTGTGAATTAGGAATCCTTGAATTTCGGCCGAAACAAGATGGAGGCTCTGATCCTCTCAGCCTCCTCTCCAGAACTATGAAAGAATCCAAATTTCGGCCGAGACAAGAGCGAGGCTCCGATCCTTTCAGCCTACTCTCCAGAACCCTCGCTGTTAGTGTTACTGTGATTCGCTGTTGGTAGCCGAGGCTCTGATCCTCTCAGCATACTCTGCGGTGGACTCTGCTTACAGTTGGCAGCCTCGACCTCAAGCGAAGCGGCAGGCTGTGACTTGCACAGAGTCCTTGGATTTTGGCCGAAACAAGAGCGAGGCTCCGATCCTCTCAGCCTACTCTCCAGAACTCTGGCTCAGATCAGCAGAAATTCTTGGATTTGGGCCGAGACAAGAGCGAGGCTCCGATCCTCTCGGCCAACTCTCCAGAACTCTGGCTCAAACTAGCCTGCAAAAAAAAGCCAACTCCTTGGCTTTGGGCTGAAACAAGAGCGAGACTCTGATCCTCTCAGCCTACTTTGCTTGGATTTCGGTTGAAACAAGAGCGAGGCTCTGATCCTCTCAGCCTACTTTCGAGTCTCGCTCACTGCTGCTAGCAGCATTGGCCGCTGTGGCCGTTTCCGGGCGTCGCCCTGCGGGATCGTGCTTGTCGCAGAGATCCAGGATCGTGTCGAGGCCCTGGTCCTGCTCGCTGATGTAGCGGGCGAGTCGCCACCAGCCTTTACTAGTGAGCTTCGGCTCTTGGCGCTCCAAATGCTCATCATCTACTGGGAAGCGGCCAATCTGCGGGCATCCTTCAATGGCATGGACCTTCGGCACAATGACCGGCACAAGGTCGTAGAGTTGCTCCGGTGTCATGGTGTTCAGCCCCTGACACCACTTCGTTTTGTTCTTCTTGACCTCGTCGTCGAGGATCACCGGCATCAGGTCGGCCATCATTGCCAGTGTTGCCCCACCTGGCCCAGGGAATTCCAGCACCATAGATTCTCCCCTCTTCCAAGGGACGAACCGTGCGCTACAACCCAACTCAGTGGGGAAGGGGATGTCCGGGTAGTACTTTTCCCAGTTGAGTTTGTGCTGCCCGCAATACCACCGGGACCCCTGCTTGTCCCAAAGCTTCCCTGCCCGGTAGGGGCCGCATGTCTTGCCGTCGCCAGCCTTGGCACGGCGCATGTAGAATGGCGCCAAAGACCATTCATTGCCGTCCTCGTCCATGGCCATTCGGTCGTCATAATCGAGGGCCTTCACCATGCGGTCCTGTGCAGGGTGCCCCTTGAAGCATTGGTAGTCATACGCCTCCTCTTCCTCCTGCATCAACTTCTCCAGTGTGCCTTGGCTGACTTGTGAACCCCTCCTAAAAGTTAAACTTTGAGCCTCCTTGTTATAGTTCTTATTCTAGTTCATATAGAAACTTTAAAGTTAACGTCCTAGGAGTCAAGAATTGTTATACCAGAAGAACATCAAGGCACTGAGGGCCTCTTCATATGGTCCATCGCCCGGGCGCAACTTCTCGAGGGCCTTCTCCATCTCCTGGATCATCTCATGAAGGGCCACCGCTGCTTTCATGCGCTTGTTTGCCTGGCTGAAGGCCTCCCAAAGCACGCCATCCTGGATGGCCTTGGCCAACCTGGACCGCCTTCTGCCTCTTCCTTGCGGTACTCCTCAGGCCCATCTCGTCCGCCTCCTGGTACGCTACCACCCGCAATCCGAAATTGGCGGACTGGGCTTGGTGCCTCGCCTCCTTTTTGAGCTCGTCCATGTCAACGGTTTTCCCTGCGGCAAGCCTTAGCGAAGCCATGCAATCCACGCAGATCTTCATGCGCTCATGCTTCTCGGACACAAGCATCTGCTTCCTCTTCTTGACGATTCCACACTCTGCACACGGTTGTCCCTTGCCCACCACGCCACCCGTCAGAGGGTCCGATGCTCCACCGTCGGTCTCGGCAGACGCCATGACGGGAGCTTGGGATTCAAAAACCAGCTTGGCGAGGGCACTTTGATTTCCAAACACAGGCCAAGATCACCCCGCTCAAAGTTTTCACATTATTATGTTATGCTGTGACGGTAATAATCATAAAAATAATTGGTAGAATCTCAGATTGAAACTTTCTTCAATGTCTTACTAATCTTATCCTAATATAATATTGATAGAATCTCAGATCAAAACCTTCTATGTCAATCCTGGCTCCAACCGTGACTGTGGCTCTTACCTCACACAACGCCTCTCGGTGGCGACAAAGGTTCAAAGTGGGCTAGTAGCCTGAAGATCTTCACGAGGCTTCTCCAGCGCCAAACGCAGGACTGCAATATGTAATATGAACACATGATTCAATGAGCAGGCACCTGTGTAATTTTGGCTTGACTTCATGTTGATTTCTCAGGTCTTTGCCGAAAGCAAGCATCTCAGATTCTCTCTTCGATGCGCTAGGCAGCTTCACACGTGATGTATGCCGACCATCACGCAATGCTTTTCTCTGCAGGATCAACTAGCCTCAGCTGTGCCGAAAAGGCGCCAGTGAAGATCAACATGCCGGAGACGCCCAAACGCGGAGGTGAGCGCAATGCGTCGAGGACGCCTCCACCGGTGCGACGTCGTGCTCGTGCCACGAGATCTCCTCCCTCCAGTGACGAGATTGAGGAATCGGATCGGGATGGTGCTCCGAAAGCAGGATCAGCTGCGCCAAAAGGACCACCGGGGCGAGCGTGGAGTCGCTATGGCAACGGGGTCCTGGTCACCCGACTACCACAGGAGGAGTGACTCCCCTGGGCATCACCCCCACCAAAGGCAATGAAGGCTGACATAACCAGTACAGCAGTGGCAGGAGGTACTTCGCCACATACTGCTGGCATTAGTTTGGATGAGAAAGAGGACTCCCTCTGCCCCGTGTCACTTCCACACCGATTGCTGTTGCTGTTTAATGTGAAGCTGGTCGTGCGTACAGACCCTTCCATTATAGAGGCCAGGGCGATTGAATGGCAGGGACACAGCTGAACTGCAGCAAAATGTGCTCAACCCCAGTTTCAGGTTAGTCTCCGCCAAAGCCATGACAGGCGAGCAGAATCACAGCTTGGAGGTGGGGAGGCGGACGAGGCGGCTAGGACAATGACACCCGCTGGTCAGGAAGCAACGGTACATCCCACTCGCATGAGGCTAGTGGACCACCGGTGCCAGCGCCAGCTCCAGAAGGCACGACGGGCGGCTCGATCCCTCCGGGAAGCTTCCCCTGGTCTTTGAGAGAAATAAGAAGGGGGCGAATGTTCTCGATTTCGTCAACAACCTCCTTCTCCGGCATGAGATGAGTCACCCCCTCTAATTCTCTTCATGTGGTGGAGACACTCCCCGTCCCTGACGTACATGCAGACCATGACTCCCACCTTGGAAGGAACACAATCACTGTCGGGAATGGAGTCAGAACAGCCTCTCTCCCGAACTTCAGCACTTGAACAGCTTGTCAACAACAGGGAGTTGGGGACACAAACCTCTTCTCAGAGTCAAGATGACTCAAGATGATCTAGAAAAAGGCTGGATGGCCTGCAAGCTTCCGTTTGCGAGTAAGCGTGCTCTCCAGCTTCACCTTGTAAAGGCATCACACGCTTGCGTAGTCTGCAGCCTTTAAAAGCGAAACGCATGCAGGTGCAGGCCTCGACA